AATAACTATACTAATAAAATAAATACAAATAAGAATAAAATAAAATAAAATAATAAGAAATTATGAAAATGGAGGAAACCCATGGTAACAACGTATATATATTCTAGCTTATTTTTTTTTCGAATGCATATATATTCAAACTTATTTTTTTGAGTGTATATATATTCGAGTTTATTTTTTTTTCAACACATATATATTCAAGTTTATTTTTTTAAATTTGAATATATATACTGTTCAAATATTTTTTTATTTTTTTTAATACTTTTTTTCAAATGCATATATATTCAAGCTTATTTTTTTGAATATATATATATTCGAGCTTATTTTTTCAAATATATATATATTCGAGTCTATTTTTTGAGCACATATATATTCGAGTCTATTTTTTAAGTTTTGAGCTTTATTTAAGATAACTTTGATTTAACATATGTAGTCTTGAGCTTTATTTTAAAGTAAACTCAAGTTAATCTATGTAGTCATGAGTTTTATTTAAAGTAAATCGAAATCAATACTATATAGTCTTGAGCTTTATTTAAGGTAAATTGAAATCTATACCACATAGTCTTAAACTTTATTTAAAGGTAACTTGAATTTAACATGTGTAGTTTTGAGCTTTATTTTAAAGTAATCCCAAGCTAACATATATACTCATGAGCTTTATTTAAGGTAAATCAGAATTAATACTATGTAGTTTTGAGCTTTATTTAAATTAAATCGGAATCAATACTATATAGCCTTAAGCTTTATTTGAAGGAAACTTGAGTTTAACATGTGTAGCCTTGAGTTTTATTTTAAAGTAACTCCAAGCTAACCTATGTAGTCATGAGCTTTATTTAAGGTAAATCAGAATTAATATTATGTAGTCTTAAGCTTTATTTAAGGTAAATTAGAATTTATATCACATAGTTTTAAGCTTTATTTAAGTTAAATCAGAATCTATACCACATAGTTTTATACTTTATTGAAGGTAACTTGAGTTTAAAATGTGTAGTCTTGAACTTTATTTTAAAGTAATTTCAAGCTAACCTATATAGTCATGAGCTTTATTTAAGGTCAATTGAAATCTATACTACATAGTCTTAAACCTTAATTCCAATTCAACAGTTGTATTCTTGAGCTTTATTTGAATTTAATATGTATAGTCTTGAGCTTTATTTAAAGTAACCCAAGTTAACTTATATAGTCAAAAATAATTTGGAATGCCAAAAATAATTTGAGATGTCAAAAATAATTTGGGATGCTAAAAATAATTTGGGATACCAAAAATAATTTGGGATGCTAAAAATAATTTGGGATATCAAAAATAATTTGGATTTGAGATTTGGAATTGGGATTTGGGATTTGGGATTTAGCAATTTGAATTTGGATGGCACCTATAGAAGAGATAGCATAGGAATGTGAGGAAGAGATGGTGTGGGAAAGTGAAGAAAGAGTTGCTATATTATACATAGTGCAATTCAAGTGTAACGCATTGATCATTTTGTTGCATATTCACTTGTTAAGCAAAATAAAAAGATCCAATCACATTTTACAATGTCAGACTTGTTGTGTGACTGTGTCACAGATCTATTTCACATGATATAGTGCATAACACCACCAGTGTATTATAAAATTTTTGATTATTTTTTATAAATAATAAAATAAATATAGCACATAATAAAATATTATTCTTTTTTATATAATAATTTTTTATTATGTCCCATGTTTATTTTTATTATTTATAATTAAAATACTTCCTGAAAATTAAACTTAAAGTAGTATAACAAAATTTTATTTGACATTATTGTATGTATGTACTATTATTATTATTGTCTGGAGTGTAACGTAGGACACTTAATGGACGAGTAAAGTGATGCCAAAATTACGTTTATGATGTATCAAAAGTTCTGGTCTTGATGCACTTATAACAAAAAATAAGAAATAATCAAAAATGTAACTTGGGATAGGTGCCTGTTCAATTTTAGATAATGATTGATTGTCGTTGATAAAGAACACATAACATAATATTTATTATTAAAATAAATTTATTTTTTTTTCTTATTTTGAAATAATGACTTTATCAAAGAAGTTTACAATTGATTTTTCATTATACTCACTTTACAATACAAAGAAACATTGATTTTTTTTCAAGAATAATACTTAGATTCTTTTTATACCTTATGAATATTATGACCCAATTTTAACATTTTTATCAAAGTAAACTGCCTTAAGCAACTAATAAAATGATTCAGAAGGTATAAAATTACTTAGATCTTAATTTTTCCAAGCTGACTTATATATATATATATTGAAAGATTATTTTTCTTTAATTACAAATACTCATGAATTTTTTATACTTCCAGAACATTGAAATGTAATTTTTAATGCATTGGTCAAAGTAAACTACCCTTGAGCAACTAATTGAAACTGTTAGGAAGGTATGAAAGTAATTGAATATTTGTTTTCACTAAGCTGGCTTACAAACGGATTGAAAGATGAATTTTTCTTTGATTAAAAATGCTCACGAATTTTTTTTACAGTTCCATTTTACATCCAGAAATATGAGTCAAAATTTCAATACATTGGTCAATGTAAACTGCCATTGAGAGACTAATTAAAACTGTTCAGAAGGTATGAGAGTAATTGAATATCTGCTTTCGCTAAGCTGGCTTACAAACAGATTGAAATATGAATTTTTCTTTAATTACAAAAGCTCACGAATTTTTTATACTTCCAGAAATTTGAACCGTAATTTTAATACATTGGTCAAAGTAAACTACCTTTGAGCGACTAATTAAAACTGCTCAGAAGGTATTAAAGTAATTGAATCTTTGTTTTTTGCTAAGCTAGCTTGCAAATGGATTGAAAGATGAATTTTTCTTTAATTACACATATTCACGAATTTTTTTTACTTCCAGAACTTTGATACATTGGTCAAAGTAAATTGTCTTTGAATGACTAATTAAAATTGGTATCTTAATTTTGCTAAGCTGGTTTACAAATGGATTGAAAGATAAATGATTCTTTAATTATATATACTTTCAATTTTTTTATTCTTTTAAAATTTAGTTTAGTTTGTAAATTTAAGATAATATTTTTCTAACAATGATATAATTATAAATTTATTAAATTTATTCAGAAATTTATTGGTTTTTATTATGTCAATTAAAATATTTTTAAATTAATAAAATTACAAATACTTAATATAAAGTAAAAAAAAAAAGTTATGCTAATTATTTTTTAAATCAATTGCTCCGTCTCACAACGGTTCCCGTTTCCTAGTATATTATTATTTATAAAAGTATGTTGTACGTACGTATAATTTCAATCGTACTACCGAAAATCCTATCGTACTAAATTCTCAATCTATACTGTACTAATTTCCGAAACCCCCTATCATCTCCAAAATCATCTGCACAATCATACTATACTGATTTTCTATATTACCTTAATTAATTTCATATATTAATTTTATTCGTACCATACAAATTTAGCAATTAAAAAGTGTCGACTTAGAACATCATCAATTAATTGATATTAAGAATTTCTACAGCACGAGCCTTTCGGCTATGCCGTGCCGTAACTATTTTGCGGTACAGTATTTTGAAAACCGTAATTGCCGTAAAATATTTTATATGCGTAAATTATAGACGTAAATCAAATATACTTTAAGAATAATTCAAGAGTACAATATAAATGATAATATAGTTAGGGAGAAGGAAACAGAAATTGATTTTGAAGCTTTATATGAAAACACATTGTAAACTTAATAAATAAGAATAACGTAACCGTAAAAAAATTTCGACAGCACATATAGTAATTACAAAAGATCGTCACGCTCAAAAGGGTTTTTGGTTAATTATTCGATTTTTTACAATTTTTATAATGAGTTCAATTTTTTACTTTAAAATCATTGTATTTAAGTTTACTATTTTTATGAATAAATTAAAATATTAGAAGTATTATCTTTATTTGCACCCTCATTATTAAAATGAATATTATAATCTATTTTCTTATTAATTAATATTTAAAAAAGATCGCTACAGTTTTTTACAAAAAAAAATGTCCAAAAATAACAAATTTCGCCATTTTTACTAATATAATCTCGGCAAAACAAAATCTCATGCTTTGGAAGATCCCACATGCGTGATACACCGATTTGTATTTCAATTTGAATTTTTTTACTTCTATTGGGCAGGAAATTTTCATGAATTTAGTACTACCTCATCACAAAATTTAAGTGATTTACAAATTTTTTTTAATAAAAAGAAAAATTAAAATTAACGGGTGATTTCATGTATTTCTAAATTAAGTTTTATACAAAAATAAATGAAATAATTATTTAGTCATTTATTAAATAAACAAAACCATATCATCTATGAAGAAACTAATAAATTTTACTGATTGGTAGCTAGATCACGAATTAATAAATAAATGATCTGCATTCAGATAATTATTTATGAGCGAAAAATTAGAATTTTCGTGGTATTTTTAAAATGTATTTCTCTCTTGATTCAGTTGACATAATTGTGTGGGCATTCATAACTATCTATGTTATTTATTGGATTGGAAGTCCAAGATTAAGTAAAGTAGGTTTTTTTTAATTTTTTTTTGTCATATAATACTTAATTTTTTTTTTTTAATTTATTATTTTTTTTTCTTCAGAATGAACCTCCAATGGTTCCTTATAAAATTCCAATAATTGGCCATACATTGGATTATTTATTTAATGCCGAAAATTTTATGGAAGAATGTAGACAAAAAGTAAATCATCATAATAATAATTCATTCCTAATAATCACGATTAAAAAAAATAATAATAATAAATTAACTAAAAAATCTGCATGCATAGTACGGTGATCCTTACAACATATATGTATTTGGTATGGTTATTACTATAGTTGGAAACGAAATCACTCATGAAGTTTTTAGGACTGATGCTTTTAGTCTTATCGCCGCTACAAGAGAGGTAAATAAATTTAAAATTAATCAATCAAATTATTTCGACTTTCAAATACTATATTTATTTAGATGTTATACTTATTATATTGTATTTACTAGCTATTTCCTTTGTATCGTGTTTTAAAAAATCATGATGATCCTAAAGCGATGGATCGAGTAGTCAACACGATACGTAAAGGAATTACTCCAAAATTACCTTTATACAATGAAAGATTGCAAAAACAACTTATGATTTCTATTGATAAGGAAATTGGAGATTGTTCTAGTAAGTCGCTTTTACTCTCTTTGGTAAATTTTTTTGAAATGATAATAACAATAATAATAATTATTATTTTATCTGTTTAGAACCTAAACTTATTGACACGACTGATGAATTAACAAGTCTAAGCGCCCGTCCAGTAGCTGATATTTTAGTTGGACAGGTAAGATAAATTGTAAATTATAAATATGGAATAATATTTTAATATCTTTCAATTATATTAAAGGAAGCATCAAAAAATGAAGACTTGGTCAAAGCTTTCGCTACTTTTGTCAAAGATTTTATATCAATTATCGCAATACCTCCCATTCTTTCATTCATTCATCCAAAACTCCATAGCCATTTTATCACTTTACCACTAAGATTAGGATGGAATCCAGTTGAAAAACATGTGATTACTTTAAAAAAATATTTGAAACCACTATTAGAGAAAAGATTGAAAGATAAAGAAATTCTCGGTGAAAAATATGAACCACCCGTGAGTATTAAAAAATTTTAACGTAAACTTCAACATTATTAAAGAAAATTAATTCTATTCATATAACAATAGCTGGATTTAATTGAATATTTATTGAATGATCCCGATTTCGAAACAAAAGTTGTTACTGATGATTACGTGGATAAACTCTGTGATTTTTTATATGTTATTGTTGTTGCTTCTGTTCACACCACTTCTCGTCATCTTACTTGTGCTCTTTATGGTAAAAAAAAAAGTTATTCATATCATTAATTTATAATAATTTTATATAATTCTCACTCATTTTATAATTAATATTATTTTTGTGTTCTATAATAGATTATGGAGGAAGGCCAGAATTATGGGATGATATTTACGAAGAACAAGTAAAAATTGATAAAGAATGTAATGGAGTATTAACATCTCAACATATTAACAAATTGGTGAAATTAGATAGTTTTATAAGAGAAACTTTAAGGACTTTTGGTTCTGCGGGTATGTAAATTTTATAATTTTATATATATAAGGGCTCAAGAATAATAATGTGAATAATTTATTAAAAATAGGCGGCTTTCCTCACAAATGTGTGAAATCATATACGTTAAAAAATGGCATGACAATTCCAAAAGGTGCAATTCCATTTTAGAAATTTTCTTTATTATTTATTTCATTTATTTTAATAATCTTTTCCATTTGATACCATTGAAAATATTAATATTTTTTTAAAAAATAAATATCTGTACTGTCAGGTCGCACAATTCAAGCTTCTTTAGGGGATGTTCATTACAATACCACAACATATGGACCAGAACCAAAGTCATTCCTTCCTTATCATGGTTTGGAAAAAAATCTTCCGGCATCAAAAACTGATAAAAATTATTTTATATTTGGAACAGGAAAATATACTTGCCCTGGAAGGTTGGTATTTTACTTATTTGGTTAATAAATTTTTTATAATAATTTTATAAATATTTATTAATTAAAAACTAAATTAATTTTTTATAAACAGATTTTTTGCTGTAAATGAAATTAAAGTTTGTTTTCATAAATTAATTTTAAAATATCACATTAAGACACCAAGTGGAAAGCCTGAAAAAAAGAAAGTAGTTGGACCTGCTGCTCATCCACCATATGCTGGATTAATTTTTGAGAATAGGAAAAATTGATGAAAAATTTCCTTTATCTAAATTCCTGAATTTTTTGAAATTTACTTTTCTATTAATTTGCAGAGCATTTTAATTCTATATAAAATAAATTAATTATAATGTTTACAATAAAGATCCTTAATTTGATTTTTTTTTATTCCTTTCTCACTGTGGATCTAATTTGCTATTTCAATATCGATATAATATCTTTATCTCAACTAATAATTTTTTTTAAAGATAAGATTAATATTAATCTTTTACTATAAAATTAGATTCTATAATAATCAGTATTTATTTATTATCATTAACAAATAATTCTTTTCTTTGTAAACTAATGGATGGTGAAGAAAAATAATATATTTGTTTGTTTAAATAAATGTCAAATCCCATAAATTTAAATCTAAATTTAATTAAATATTATTAATATTGTTCAAGTATCTGCTGTTATTTTAACTTTTTTTCCATAATTCATTTAGGTTTATACATTAATCCAATAGTATGTTAAATAATTGCAAATATTTAATACTTATCACGATCATGCTAATAATTTATTAGTATTGAGGTGGCACAAATATTACAAGAGTATTGTGCAAGTTTCAGAGTATTACAAATGTCATGGAGGATGATGGCAAGATGGCAGTGAAACCTAGGTGAGTGTACTACCATTCAGGATGATGGATTTTTCATCCTCGGACAATATCTTTCGTCATCTTTAAGAAAGGGGGAAACATGCTCAGACATAACAATAGAGAATAAGATAAACAACTCAAAGGTATAAAATAACTAGAGAATCCTTTTGAGAGGAATAGACACCTTTTGAAATTTAGGCTTTATAATTTTCCTTTTGATTAATTTTCAGAGATTTACATTTTTATTTCCCTATATTTACATAAAACATAAAATAGTAATTTTCTTGAAAAATTTGTAATAATTTGAGAAATAATAAATATTCTTTTGAAATAGTTTAGCAATAGGATAAGACATGCTAAAGCAGTGATATGTTTCTGTTGTTACTCTTTGCAATAAATTTGATAATAATAATAATAATTTCAAAATATCTTGTAATACTTCAATAAATTTTATTTCGTGATAAATGGTAATAGTGATAGACATCCTATCCATTATAATATCTCTATTGCCAAAGTTTAAATAAATTTGATCAACTATTCTATTTCTCTGAATAAAGTTACTGCATAGAGTTTGAAGCTAAGATTCAAAAGTTTGATTAGTTAGCTGTAAGAGGTACTTTTACTTCACTTACTTACATACCTTCTGTATGTATGACTACAGAGTTATTTTAGTAGTTGTTCACAGCATTTAGGCAAGTGACAGCTTGATCTTAATTGTGGAAAGGGTATATCATTATGTATGACATACTGTACACAAGATGGTATATTATTACATATGACGTACTGTATGAAAGAGTGCAAAAGGGTATAATACGAATTCAATTTAGTGAGACTGATTGTTATAACTTTACTTCTTGTTCTGGGCAGACCACTACAGTATTTGACAAATATTACATAATTAATGATGATTTTTAACCAATAAAATTAGTAATGTGACAAAATTACTGATTCATATGATCATTAGTCATTTTTAACCAACAAAATTTGTTACATAATTTCAATTGCTCTTTACAAAAAATCAAATATATTTCTTTATTAACACTATAACTTGACATAAAATATTACAATTTTGAATCATATCTATTAAAAAATCACTTTTTCTTGTCTTAAATATATTTATTATAATTATTACAGTGAAATTAAATCAATAAAATCACATATGTAATAAAAATAACTTGATTTCAAAGATTTATTTAATTAAAAATATATCAAATATTATGTTAAAGCTAAAAAAAATATATATTTTTGTAAATATAAAGGTTATAGAAAGCCTTTTAAATCAAATAAATAAAGGTAATCACAAGATAATCTAAAGGTAATCACTTTTAGTCATTTTGTAAATCATATGTAATGCAAATACTTTATCTATCTATCTATCTTCTATATTATTTAAAAAGGAAACAATATCTTTAACATTTCTGATTGGATGCATTAGTAGTGTCACATTATTATGAGAATTATAATTATTGGCATTTTCCCAAATCAAAGGATTTAAAGGATTTGCAAAATGAAATGTAGAAAATCTTTGGCTTAGCAAAGAAGAATGAGGTGATCATGATCAAAATCAAACCTGCTTCAATTACATCATGATGAGAAATTTTAATTTGTGACAATTATTTTTAATAAATTTTTAATAAATTATTAGTACTAAATTATCAATGAATTTATTTATTTGTTTCTTATCTTTGTCAAAGTAAATTGATTTTTCACTATACTTGCTTTGCAAATACAAAGAAATATTGATATTTTTTCAAGAATAATCCATAGATTTTTTTTATATCTTCAGAAATTTATAACATAATTTTAACACTTTTACAAAGTAATTTTTTTTGAGTGACTAATTAAAACTATTCAGAAGGTATGAAAGTAATTAGATATTTGTTTTCACTAAGCTAGCTTACAAACAGATTGAAAGATGAATTTTTCTTTAATTACAAATACTCACAAATTTTTTTTACACTTCCAGAACTTTGTAACATAATTTCAATTATATTGGTCAAAGTAAACTGCCTTTGAGCAACTAATTAAAACTGTCAGAAGGTATAAAAGTACCTGAATATTTGTTTTCGCTAAGCTGGCTTACAAATAGATTGAAAGATGGATTTTTCTTTAATCACAAATTTTTTTACACTTCCAGAACATTTTAATGTAACTTCAATCATATTGGTCAAAGTAAGCTGCCTTTGAGCGACTAATTAAAACTGTTCAGAAGGTATGAAAGTACCTGAATATTTGTTATTGCTAAGCTGGCTTACAAACAGATTGAAAGATTATTTTTCTTTAATTATAAATTTTTTTTACAGTTCTATTTTACATTCAGAATTTGGTCAAAATAAATTTACTTTGAGTGACTAATTAGAACTGTTCAGAAGGTATGAAAGTAATTGAATATTTTTTTCATTAAGCCATCTTACAGACGGATGGAAAATGAATTTTTCTTTAATTACAAATGCTCACGAATTTTTTTACACTTTCAGAACATTTTAATGTAATTCAATCACATTGGTCAAAGTAAACTGTCTTTGAGCGACTATTTAAGACTGTTCAGAAGATATGAAGATAATTGAATCTTTGTTTTTGAGAAGCTGGCTTGCAAATGGATGGAAAGATTATTTTTTCTTTAATTATAAATACTTATAAATTTTTTTACAGTTCCATTCTACATTCAGAATTTGGTCAATGTAAACTGCCTTTTACTAGTATCTATATGTTCTTTATGTTCATTAAATTCTTCAAGTTCTTTTTCAAAACTTGGTTCATATACAGGCTTTGGAAAATTTGAAAAATTGAGTAGTCGACTTGTATAAATTTCTTGTGAATGTGCTTATTAACTAAGTGTTAATGGGATTAATGTATTAATTGATAATTGATTTGCTGAAAATTTTCAAAGTATTTATTTTCAATTCTTTAAAAATAATTGATGAGTATATTTTTGTGATTAACTTCAGAGAAATGGATTTTTGGTTGTAATTATTTCAATATTGAATTGGATTTGGATTTGGTTTCTAAAAATTTAAAGAATACATTAGTATTATTTTTATAAAAAATAAAACTTTGAAGAATTGAAATCAGCTATTGATATATTATTTAGTTTTTTAGTTTATTTTAATTTGATTTTTATCATATGAGTTAATTTTCTTTAATATATTTTTTGTATGTGAATTAGATATCTCTTTAATTCATTTATCTTAAAACTTTTTTTACATCACATATTATTAAGACTCGAATTAAGCATGCCTCAAGTATACTCATGTTACTATAGAAATGACCTGTTAAGATTTTTTTTCTTCTATTATTCTACTTTATCAGATATATCATCTCTTTTATTTATTTTTTACATAGGTTTTTTCATTCTTTTTTTTTTTGTAATAAGATGTCTGAATTTGATAACATTTTAACAGAAACAATGATTATTTATGTTTAAATAAAGAAAAAGTATATTGTTAAAGAAATGAGAGACGTTTTTCAAGGTTAATTCTCTCTTTTTTGAGACAAAAAGAGAATAAAATATGATAAGTACTGTACCTTCTGATAAGATTTTCTGGTTTGTTTAGCACATTAAGAAATTGGATGAAATAAGATATTTATTGGATTAACACAAAAATTCATACTTTCTCTCTTAAAGAAAGGGGTTTTTATTATAGAATACCTAATTATTACCACTGTTACCTTATTTTTTATTTTTATTTCTTTTATTATTTATGTATTACTTATTATTATTTTTTTTTTTATATCCAACGGAGTCTTGCTCCAATAAACTTTATTAATAGATTAAGTGTAAATTTTAAAGATACAG